AGCTTTAATTGGCAATAACAGTGGGCATGAAAATTCTAGGTGTGATATGTGGCAGGTGCAATGTGCTGATAAAATATCCTTTTTAATTTCTACTATTAGGGTAGAAAATTATTAATTACCCCTAGAATACTAATCAAAAGAAAAAAATAGTTCAAATGGTTAGGCTAATAATCTATTAAAATTAAACTGCATTTGAAAAATCAGATGGAGTCATGAATTAACTAAAATTAGTCTTTTTAGATGAACTAGGTTATCTAGAACAAAATTACTTTCATCACCTTAAAGCCTACTCCATTTCTAAGTCCTCAATAAATATGTTCTGTTCTTTCCTGATGTATTGTGCCTCAGCTAAAATTTATCTACTCTCCTCTTCAATGTCTGTTACTATTTTGACTGCTCATCAGATGTTTCTTTGAACCTCAAATATATGCACCAGAAGCAGGGCTAAGAACACAGGTCCTATCTAATAATATTAGAGAATACTAATAATTAACTAGATCATCTCTTTCATTCTTTATAAATAAGTAGCAACATATTTTGGTGGCAGAATAAAATGTTGTTCAAGTAAATACATTAGAGCATGATAAAACCTTACCTGCTTTACTGTGATAGGCAGAGAGCTAGATTCTGGTATTACTCTATCTCCTAGCTTGAAGAGAGTGGGAAAGTTACAAGAAGTTAGTGCTTAAAGGGAATAGATCACCATTTGATCTAGAAGGTAAAAAACTATAGATTTTTACGTCAGAACACATATTCCTATCTTAATTCTCTGCTCTATTCTGAGGTATGAGAAAGAAGAAAGAAATATATTTTTTTAAAATGCTGCCAAGAAGTAACCCTCAGCAATTGATTAAAGAAACTGTAACCAGAACTGTACAGTCATGATAACATCAATCTTCTTCCTTTAAATCAGCCAGGAACACTTGTTTCTTAGCACTAGCTGAGGATAGGTGCTTCTAGCCTTAAACAGGGAGGTTTGCACTTCAAATTCCTTATCAACAACTTTTCATCATAAAAGAGCAAAATTTATAACACTAATTGGTGGAGAATATTATCATATATTGTTTTTCTGTCATCAAAAAAGATGAGCACACATATGTCTTTGAAAATAGTACTTAGGTTTTGATGCAGTTGGAAGAAAAAAATTAGGTAGATGGTTCTTAATCTTAAACTTTTCCAGGTCATATATTAATAAAAAAAGTTTCAAATTTAGTTCTATATTTAAAATATTATAAAAGCATCAGAAAGAATTTAATTTATATATATTTTTCATTAAAAAGGGTAATTCACACAAAATAACATACCATAGTTTTAAGGCATTAAAAAACACAAATAACAAAAATGAAGGACTTGAAATAAAACTGGTAAAGGAAATAAACAGCGAGTTCTCAGGAAAAACATAAAAACATGAAAAGGTGTTCAATCTCACTAATAATTAAAAACACAGATTAAAACAATGAAATTTATTTTGCACCATAAAATTAGTTAAAATTTTTACAAGTTTGATGATTTTGGGTAGCAAAGGTTTGAGGGAAGTAAGAACCCTCATACATTGTTGAAGAAAGTGCAAATTACCGAAATGTTTTCTGAAGGCAATTTTACAATAACTAGAAAAGTAAAAAGTCTGCTCTCTTTGATATATAAATCCCACTGTTAAAAAGTCACCCTATATAAATACCTACAAAATAATGCCAAAATATATGTGTAAATGATTATTACAACAACAACAACAAAAATAAAACAACCTAAATCCTTATAAAGACTGGCTAAATAAATAAAGTTCATCCATATAATTAAATGTAATGCAGTCATTAATGTGATTAAAAGGACTGAATAATCTATACTGATAATGTGGAAAATGATCGAAATATATTAGGTCAAAAAAACAAGGCATGAACACAGTATAAACTCCTCTTATATAAACATGAAAAGGGCAAACATTTACATGCAGATGTGGGCATTAAAATGTTTATGAAAAGATATGCAAGAAGCAATTAAGTGATTGCTTTTGAGGAGAGATGCTATAAATAAGAATAGAGCAATACTCTTGCTTTTTTATTTTTCTATGGCTAGAGTTAAATGCATGAGTGCTCAGTCCTGTCTGACTCTTTGTAATCCATGGACTGTAGCCCTCTAGGCTCCTCTGTCCATGGGATTTCCCAGGATCTTTAGGGGATCTTCCTGATCCAGAAATCAAACAGTGTTTAAATGCAAGATCCAAAACTCTGTCTCTGAGACTTACTGAATCTACATCTCAACAAGATTCCTGGCAATATGTAAAATTAAAATTTGGTAGTTCAGTTCAGTTGCTCAGTCATGTCTGACTCTTTGCGACCCCACGGACTGCAGCACACCTGGCCTCCCTGTCCATCACCAACTCCCGGAACTTGCTCAAACTCATGTCCATTGAGTCAGTGATGCCATCTATCCATGTCATCCTCTGGCATCCCCTTCTCCTCCTGCCTTCACTCTTTTCCAGCATCAGGGTCCTTTCTAGTCAGTCAGTTCTTCTCATCAGGTGGCCAAAGTATCGGAGTTTCAGGTTCAGCATCAGTCTTTCCAATGAATATTCAGGACTGACTTTAGGATAGACTGGTTGGATCTCATTGCTGTCCAAGGGACTCTCAAGAGTCGTCTCCAACACACAGTTAAGAAGCATCAGTTCTTTGGCACTCAGCTTTCTTTATAGACCAACTCTCACATCCATACATGACTACTGGAAAATCCATAGCTTTGACTAGATGGACTTTTGTTGGCAAAGTAATGTCTCTGCTTTGTAACATGCTGTCTAAGTTGGTCATAACTTTGCTTCCAAAGAGCAAGTGTCTTTTAATTTCATGACTGCAGTCACCATCTGCAGTGATTTTGGAGCCCCCGAAATAAAGTCTCACTGTTTCCATAGTTTCCCCACCTATTTGCCATAAAGGGATGGGACTGGATGCCATGATCTTAATTTTCTGAATGTTGAGCTTTAAGCCAGCTTTTTCACTCTCCTCTTTCACTTTCATCAAGAGGCTTTTTAGTTCTTCTTCACTTTCTGCCATAAGGGTGGTGTCATCTGCATATCTGAGGTTATTGATATTTCTCCCGGCAATCTTGATTCCAGCTTGTGCTTCATCCAGCCAGGCATTTTGCATGATATACTCTGCATATAAGTTAAATAAGCAGGATGACAATATGCAGCCTTAACATACTCCTTTCCTTATTTGGAACCAGTCTGTTGTTCCATGTCCAGTTCTAACTGTTGCTTCCTCACCTGCATGCAGATTTCTCAGGAGCAGGTCAGGTGGGCTGGAATTCCCATCTCTTTAAGAATTTTCCAGAGTTTGTTGTGATCCACACAGTCAAAGGCTTTAGAGCAGTGAATAAAGCAGAAATAGATGTTTTTCTGGAACTCTCTCGCTTTTTCAATGATCCAACACATGTTGGCAATTTGATCTCTGGTTCCTCGGCCTTTTCTAAATCCAGCTTGCACATCTGGAGATTCTTGGTTCACGTACTGTTGAAGCCTGGCTTGGAGAAATATGAGCATTACTTTGCTAGCATGTGAGATGAGTGCAATTGTGTGGTAGCTTGAACATTATTTGGCATTGCCTTTCTTTGGGATTGGAATGAAAACTGACCTTTTCCAGTGCTATGGCCACTGCTGAGTTTTCCAAATTTGCTGGCATATTGAGTGCAGCACTTTCACAGCATCATCTTTTAAGATTTGAAATAGCTCAACTGGAGTTTCATCACCTCCACTAGCTTTGTTCTTAATAATGTTTCCTAAGGCCCACTTGACTTCACATTCCAGGATGTTTGGCTCTAGTTAAGTGATCACACCATCATGGTTATCTGGGTCATGAAGATCTTTTTTGTATAGTTCTTCTCTGTATTCTTGCCACCTCTTAATATCATCTGCTTCTGTTAGGCCCATACCATTTCTGTCCTTTATTTTTCCCATCTTTGTATGAGATGTTTCCTTGATGTCTCTAACTTTCTTAAAGAGGTCTCTAGTCTTTCCCATTTTATGGTTAACCCTAGGTATGTGCAATTCCTTTTGCACACCTGGATCACAGCATTCATTATACAGTACTCACAACTTTGTACTTATCTAAATCCCGCATTAGAGGTGAGGTTGTTAAAAGCAAGATTGAAATTGTTTGTTTTTCTTGTTTGGCTGCACAGAGCAACTTGTATGATCTTTGTTCCCCAACCAGGGACTGAACCCGGGCCCTGTGCAGTGAAAGCATGAAATCCTAACTACTGAACAGCCAGGGTATTTGATAAGATTTCTGTTGTAGTTGCTGTTCTATTGCACTTGGCACACAACAGACCATAAGTGTTTGTTAAGTAAATGAGTAAATACGCAAGAAAAGAAGAATGAAAAAATAAATGCAAATTTATTTATTTTGCAAATAAATTTATTGTATTTATAAATAAATAAATGCAAGTTTATTGCTCTTTTATCACAAGTCATCAAATAGCAATATAGAAATATTCATTATAAGTGACAGAAAAAGTAATCTCTTAAGAATTATTTTTTAAAAACTACAATGTTTAAATGTATACATTTCACAGAAACACATTACAAATATTTTTACCCTCAACAAATAGTACATAAATCCAGGATTCCAACTAAAATCTCTTAAAATTTTTGTCCTTTCTTTTAAAAAGTCCTACATAATATCACCAGTTGGAGCACAAGTTAATAGTTGAAAAGATACAAATAAATTACTGTTAGATAGCTATTGTTTCCCTGATGACACACAAATTATGCTACTGTTTAATAAGACTGCAGCTGCTGCTGATTCTGTGTCACTGTTTACTATAATTACAACCTTCGGATTTCATTCTGACCCATGTCCCATTATAGGATGTGCCCAGGCCAGATAAGCAATTTCAGAAATCAGCAGCACTGACGGATTTTTGCAAAATTGGGGCAATAGAAATCTCTTTTTTCTGGTAGTATGAAAATTCTTTTGTATCACTTCCCCCTTCAACCAAAAATTCCTCACCTGGCTGTTTCTCGCCACTCAGCATCCTCACCTTCACGCCAGCAAATCTCATCGAGTTCTGTGAAGAGGTCGTGAGGAATGTGCTCCTCATCATCATCCTCAGTCCCAAGAATAAACTGTACTCGCTGTGATGGGGTGTCTATGGATACCAGAGACAGGAACACGCATCAACAAGACCTGGAGCTGTGAATGTCCCAGTTACCACCTTCCACACCACTCGCATTTCCCCCGCTGCAGCACTCATCCAGAATAGACTTGAGAAATGAAGATGAATTCAGTATTACATTAAGTTCAGTAAAATGTGAGATCATAAACACGTAAAATGTCAATATATAATGTACTATATCATCAAAGATAAAATCAAATGTGATGATTATTTTGGATTACTTAAGCATCATGGAAAATATTTCCACATCACTCATACACACATGCACAGTTTCTCTCAACACATTGCTACACTTTATGGTCATATTCAGAAGAGTAGACTATGATAAAATTCACTTACATTAAAACTGTGCTGAATATAATTCACCAAAAAGAACTTCTTTGTGAGGCTTCTTGGCAGTTACACCCATATCCTTCCCCTCACCCCTGGCAACCATTAATCTGGTTCATACTGCTATAATTTTGCCTTTTCCAGAATGCCATACAAGTGGAAACATATGGTGTATAGCTTTTAGAGACTGTTATTCACTTACCGATATGCCTTTAAGGTTTTGAGATTTATCTGTGTCACTGAATATATCAGTAATTCATTCTTTTTATTGCTAAGTAATAGTCCATTGTATGAATGTATCTTGTTTTACTTATCTAGTCACTTGTTGAAGGATATTAAATTTACAGATTTTTCAATTATGAATAGAACTGCTATAAGTATTCTAAATTTTTGTGTGAGTGTAAATTTTTATTCTCTGGGGTAAATACTTAGGAGTAGAGTTGCTGGGTTGCCTGGTAAATATATGTTCAATCAATACATTTGTGATGAAAATTATAAAGCTTTATTGAATGATATAAAATTAGACATAAATAAATTAATATATTTATATTAATGGAAAAGCCTAATAGTGGAAAGCCATCTTATAAATTCAATGCTATTACAATAAAATATCTGGTATTTTCAACTATTTTTTAAAACATAAGAAAATGAATAAATCAGTAACAAACCATAGTGATCACTTAAATCTACAACATTAAATATTTTGTGAAAATAAACCAATTAATAAGTAACTTAAAGGATTAGGTTATAATTAAGTTACAACTGGGAGGATTTTGGAAGTCAAAAGTGAAAAAGATACATGTAATATAAAATATGATATAGTCTCATACTTTTTGTTCAATAAATCAATAGCCTTACCTTCTGCCTCGTAATTCCACTCTGGGTACCTTGGTTTTCTTTCAGATTTTTAAAAATAGCATGTTCCTTCCCATTTCAGGGCCATTGCACATACTGTCTCCTCTAGATCTCCTGTATCTTTCATCACCTACTTCACTATAATATACTTTGGCAAGCCTACCTAATCAAATTCATAAAACACACACACACACATACACACACACACGATCACACCCATATGCAACAATTAAGTCAGGCCCTTGTTATCTTAATTCACAGCACTCTATATTTCTCCTTGTTATACTTTTCTTAATTGCAATTTAAAATTTACTGTTCAATAACAAATTAAATACTTTAAGTAGAAAATATTTCCCGCTGCCAGGATTAGTTTCCTAGAAGAAGATAGGATCAAGTCCCTAAAGAAGAATAATGCATGTAAAAGATACTTTTAAAATTATAAAGCATCATACAAGTATTATTAATGATGACTAATGATGATGCTTTTGGTAGTGAGGATGGATGCAATGAAAATATAGCCCTGTCAAAATAAAGAGGTTTAGAATTTGAAGCAGGGAGAATGAGAAAATACTAGTGCCATTAATTGAAAAAGGGTTATAACATGGATGAGCCTTGAAGATGCTAAGTGAAATGTCAGACAGAGAAACACAAATACTATTAATATATGATCTTACTTATATGTGGAATATAAAAAAAGACAAAACAATAAAACTAAAGCTTTAGCTGCTCAGTCTTTGTGACCCCATGGACTATAGCCCACCAGGCTCCTCTGTCCATTGAATTCTCCAGGCAAGAATACTGGTATGGATNCACTACAATATTGTAAAGTAATTAGCCTCCAACCAATAAAAATAAATGGAAAAAAAAAAAACAAACAAAACAACAACAACAAAAAGAGATAATGTGATGAATGTTAACTAAACCTATCATGGTAGTCATTTCACAACATATGTAAAGCAAACCATCATGTACTTATACCGTGAGGTATGTCAGTTATTTTTCAACAAAACTTGGGGAAAAAAAGGGTTGTCAGAATGAGGAGCCAGTATTGTAGGCTGATAGCACCGGAGACATCTTTTAGATATGCTGAGTTTGAGGTGATTATAGTTCAAACATATAAAGATGGTCACTGGACTGCTGTATATTTGATTCTAGAAAAGAGGACAAGGTCAGAGGTAAAGACATAGGTTAGGTTGCATTTAACTAGAGAAGTAATATGATTACAACAAATAAGGACTCAACAATGAAAGACAAGAGAAGGCTCAGTATCAGGGGAATAATATGATTTAATATTTAGGATGAGGAAGAGGAGTTAAAAAATCAGAAAAGGATTAGATGGCTACGTAAAAGGAGTGGTACACTGAACAAATATATAATGAACACCTTCCATTGGTCAGGTGAATTAGACAGACATAAACAGAAAGGAAAAAATCCTCTGCCCTTATAAAACTTACATTTGATGAAGAAAGTAGTATAACAGGGTCAAGGTAGAAAAGTACAAATCAATAATGTCATATGCTGTAGAATCAATGATAAGAACTAAGAGCAATAGGATTTTAATAGCTTAATATTCAATAGCACTGGAATTCCAAAGACCATATATTACTTTTACAATCACAAATAAACTATTTCTATTGGAATATAGACCATATTTTCAACAAATGGTTACTCAAAATCAAATTTACAAAGTAATACTATAGGAAGAAAACCACTAATAGAATCATAATTGGAAATAAGCAAGTTCCTTTGCAAACTTTAACCTTTTCATTACTAGTTATGTTACTTAAACTGCTTTAGTTACTCACATGCTAATTATAAAGTGGTTGGCTATGGTGAGATTATAAGACAAGGGAAAAAGTCAAAGCAGATTTTTAAAAGTATCAATATCTTCTATGGATCAAGCATTTTCATATAATAGCTCTTTATGTCTGAGCAATAACCTACTCAAAAGGACACATATCACTTAGTCTGAAAATGCAATGAACATAATGAAAGAGCTAGAACATCCATGTCACGGATAAGAAGACTCAATATTAACAGGATGACAGTTCTTCCCAACTTGATCTGTAGATTTAATGCAATCCCAATCAAAATCTCGTCAAGTTATTTTATAGACACCAACAAACTGATTCTAAGGTTTATATGGAAAGGTAAAGGCAGAAGACCCAGAATAGCCAACAAAATATTGAAGGAGTAGAACAAAGTTAGAAGACTGACATTCCACAACTTCAAGACTTACTATAGAGCTACAACAATCAGGACAGTGTGATAATGGCAGAAGAACAGACAAATAGATCAATGGAACAAAATAAAGAGCCCAACAATAGAATTCCATAAATATAGTCATCTGATTTTTTACAAAGGAGCCAGAGTAGTAAAATTTCTTCAACAAATGGTCACCCACATGCAAAAACACTGATCTAGACACAGACCTTACAACACTTTTCCAAAATAAACTCAAAATGATCATGTGTGTGTGTGTGCTCAATCATGTCTGACTCTTTTGCAACCCCAGGGACTGTAGCCCACCAGGCTCCTCTGTGCATGGGATTTTCCAGGTGAGAGTGAGTGGGTTGCCATTTCCTCCTCCAGGAGATCTTCCCCACCCAAAGATCAAACCCACATCTCTTGAGCCTCCTGCATTGGCAGGTGGATTCTTTACCACTGCACCACCTGGAAGTCCCAAAAATGGATCATAGATCTACATGTAAAACACAAACACATAAAACCCTCAGAAGATAACATAGGAGAAAACCCAGATGACCTTGAGTATGGTGATGCCTTTTTAGATACAGCACCAAAGATAACTATCCATGAATGAAAGATGATGTCAAAAAAATTAGAAGACAAGCTACAGACTTGAAAAAGGCACATCTGATAAAGGACCATTATCCAAAATACACAAAGACCTCTTAATACTCAACATTAATAAAACCAATATGAGAGTCCTTGGACTGCAAGGAGATCCAAACAGTCCATCCTAAAGGAAATCAGTCCTGAATATTCATTGGAAGGACTGATGCTGAAGCTGAAACTCCAATACTTTGGCCACCTAATGCGAAGAACTTAGAAGGCGAGGGTGGGATGTTTCAAGAGTACAGCATTGAAACATGTATATTATCTAGGGTGAAACAGATCACCAGCCCAGGTGGGATGCATGAGACAAGTGCTTGGGCCTGGTGCACTGTGAAGACCCAGAGGAATCGGGTGGAAAGGGAAGTGGGAGGGGGAATCAGGATGGGGAATACTTGTAAATCCATGGCTGATTCATGTCAGTGTATGACAAAAACCACTACAATATTGTAAAGTAATTAGCCTCCAACTAATAAAAATAAATGAAAAAAAATAAAAAATAAAAAACGGGTCAACAATTTTAATGGGTAACTCACCAAAGAATATATACTGATGGGAAATAAGTATATGAAAAGATGTTCCACATCATATGTTATCAGGGAAATTCAGATTAAAACAATGAGATAATATTATACACCTATTAAAATGCCCCCAATCCAGAATTCTAACCACACCAAATCCCAGCAAGGATGTGAAGCAACAGAAACTCTCATTCACTTCTGCTGAAAATGTAAAATCTTATGGCCACTTTGGAAGATGGCTTAGCTTCTTACAAAACTAACCATACTTTTACTATATGATCCAGTAATTGTTCTCCTTGGTATTTACCCAAAGGAGTTGAAACTTATGCCTACCAAAGAAACCCTATACACAGATGTTTATAGCAGCTTTATTCATAATTGCAAAAACTTGGAAGAAAGCAAGATGTCCTTCAG